AGCTCATGAAACATGATGAAACATGGGGATCCAATGGTTGAGGCCCTCACAAGGCTGAACTCGCAGGCTGCCCTGTGAAAGAAGGGAAGGGAAGTTGGCCGGGTGGAGATTGGGATACAGGGGATACTGGGATACATGTGTTTATCAGATATGATAAATAATATTATCATATGTAATAAAAAATATATGTGATATCTATATTATATAATTATAAATAATATTTTTGTACATATCACAGAATAATCATACACACATATATATAATATATATATATAATAACTATATGTATAATTATCTATGTATAGTTATATATGTATTGTATCTATCATGTCGGTGTTGATTATGTGCATTGTGTATTTACATAAAGATAGGGTATATACGATACATACAGTTTGACAGTTGTTTTATATGTTTTTTTAACCTAATATTCACCCGTTTACACATAGTACATAAAATTAATAAAAGTGGACCAATATGGTGTGACTTTCAAGGTTTATATGATGATGTTTCAAGGAATATTCAAGACTTGAACCTGCCCGTGAATCCAGAAGATATTTCAGAAGTGTCCCTACTATCTGGCAAGTTTCTCTGTGCCAGGCGTGCATTGGAGAGAAGAAGTCGGTGTATGAAGGCACCAACGCCGTCCCCAGGCAGGGAAAACCTGCATGGGCCCGGCTGAAGGCCCTGAGTCACGCATACAGCTTTGGGCTGCAAGGACCCCATGACCCATGTGAAACTGCAGTATTTAGAGTCAACATGAGGGTCAAAGTTCTGAAAGCCGCCAATGTGTGCCGAGAAAGGTCTGGCACTCCTGGTCGGGTGCTTCATTTGGGCCTCACGGATGGAGCAACTTGGCAGGGCGTTCTCCAGTTGCGATGGCCAGTTTCCATGGGGAAAATCATCGAAGAAAAACACTTTGGGAGTTGGGACATTTTGGGACGGTTTCTAGCACCCCACGTTTGATAGTCTATACCACCCATATGGGTATGGGTCAATACCTATACATACCATTTTAGTGGGATGAACGTCCATTTACCAGCTATTTTGATGTCCACCAGGGGTACAAGGTTTTGACCGATCCCCATACAAATTCTGATTTTGGCGATGGTTTATTATTGTTTTAACCACATTAATCAGGTATTAATCACTATTAACCACTAGTATAGTCACTATTAATCACTATTTTGGGGATTTAAGGGTTTTATGACATTGGCTAAAAACCACAGTAGCTATCAGTAGCCGTGCTGAGGAGATCGCCAACCGCGTCATCGTCGTAGGCGCCCTTGGAGTCCGGGGAAACTTTCAGTGGACCAAACGAATTAAATTACCGCATGTTTTTAACATAATTACAGAATGAGTCATAACGTAGTTCAAATTTCACATGTCATGTGGTTTACCGGGGGTACCTTAAATAAATAAATAAATAAACTAATAAACATATATAATATATATAATATACATATAATATATATATATATGTATATTTACAATTAAATGATAAATCTCTCTAATATCCACTGGGTTCAGTTTTAGGTTGGCTGGGACTCCCAAAGGTGGTTTTAACCCTGGTCATTTTTTTCATGTCGTTGGGGCAAAAATCTGAAAATATGGTCTCCCATATGTTTAAGGGTGATCAGGTTGATCATCATCTCAAGATTAAAACATATAAAAAAATGATCCCCTTCTGAAAAAATCCCTTAAAAAAAACACCGGGTTCCGACTGTCTAGTTATTTTGGGGGGATTTAAAATGCCAATTTCGAAGTATCCCCCAGTTTTGGGACAAACTCTGAAGCAAAACCTTCCGGACGGCCACAGGGCACCACACGAGAGCGGAGCTCTTGAGTCAGTTTCTGCAGCCAGAGGAGAAGCTGCAGCACTGCATGTTTGAAAAAGATTTAAGCAGCAGCAAAGGATCTATATATATATATTAATATTATGTTTTCTTTAAAACAAATAGGTTTATATATGTTTATTATATATATATAGTTATATATAAACGACTATGTAAATAGGTAAATATTTATTGATATACATATATATATACATGATCCATTCATATGGAAGATTCATTCAATCCTTATTCATTTGTTCACGTTTGGTTCAACCCACTGTGAATCAGAAACATTCCTGTGCGGAACTGTGCAAACCACATGTTGCTCCTGATGTTTAACATCCATTGCGGTCCTAACATGTGCATTGCTCATTCAGGTTTTAATGATTATGGGATGATTATGTACCATTTACTTGTGTTGGTTGTTCCATCTTTGTTTGAGATCATTACATGGAACAAACCCATAGCACTGGAAGCACTAGAGAGGTGCGGACATTCCTATGGCCACATGCTGCAGCCTTGCTTCCCCCACGTCGCAGGACTCAGGGAGTCTCTTCAAGCTGGCCTCTGACAGAGGATTTCTGACCTACACCGGAAAGTTTGGTGGAGAAAGGCATGCCGTGCCACACGACAATTCCATACAATTCCTGATAAGAAAGGTGGAGCAGGATGATTCCAGGGGCTCTCATTTCCTGCACATTTGGATTCCGTTTTTTCTGCAGCGAGGTGTTCCTTTAGGTTTCCAGGCATGTGAGAGGTATTTCTGGGCTACTCCTAGCAGGGTTCTCCTAGAAGTTGCTACCCTGTCGATAAACATCAACATTGCCAAACAATTCACAAAAAGCAACAAGACATCCAAACATTAAAAAACAGACTGAACAAATCAACAAAATCTAATTTGAAACATAAACACAAACATATACTGTCTATATATATATATTTACTGTATATACATTTAAACAAAAAAACAAAGAAAAACAATCAAAATAAAGAAAAAATAACAACGCAAAAAAAAGTAAAAAACAATCAAACCTTTCAATAATTTACTGTAAACATAGAAAACAATTGAACACAAAAAACAAACACATAAACATAGAAACAAAATCAAGATAAACCGATAAAACAATCCAGAACATTTTCAATAGCCAAACCAAAAGCATCAAGAACAATCCCAAAGAAAATCCCAAACCAAACATAAACAATTGAAACGTAACAATATATAATTATTTGGAATGAAATTGAATCATTTGGAATTAAAACAAATGAAAAGGATTGTTTTGGAATTGAAACAAATGAAAAGGAATGTTCTAGGAGTGTCCCTATAACTGATGTCGCCCTCCATAGGGAAAAATATGAAGCCAGTATGCCGTTTGTTGGGGTAGACATGCGTAAACAAAAAATGATAGAGCCAGTTTTGATTTAACGTGAGCATCTTCATTGAGTTTATCATTCCTTGAAGGGCCCTTATGCTTTAAAAAGCGAATGTCCCGTTTGTTACTGTATATTTTTTTCCCTGCAAGTGTTGGTGCATGAACTTGACAGCTCGCATTTCATGATGTTAACAGTCAGTTCCCTTTGTACCTTACCTATCCTTACCTTATGTATCATGGGGTTGGAGCCAACCATGGGTATTTCTGGGTATTTCATGCTATTTCATTGGGTTGATTCAAGTTGATTCAGGGGATTTCTTGCCACTTGTACAGCAGTACAGCCTTAAGCGCTGGTTTTAAATGGTTTTAATTCCACAAAGAATCCAAAGATGTAGCTTTCCCACTTCACCTAGGAGGAGTACAGCACCGTAGTGCTCAAAGTTTTTCACTCGAATTGACCAAAGACTGGAGGCTCTCGGTGGTGTCCATTGGCATGGGCTTGGCGATGATGGTTCCTCGGAGCTATAAACTGACCAGCCCCAGCTTCCAAGAAGCCAGCGATATTCTCTTTTCGTATTTTGGTAAGCTAAAAGGATGAACAGATTGGTAAAGATATGCCCAATCACCGATTTAGGGGCTACGATGCAACAAAGGATGAGCCCTGATTAAGATCTAAGGCTCTAAGGAGTTGGGTGATGAATTGGGTTGATGCCATGTCCACTAGGTTCGGATGGGTTTGTTTGAACGTAGGATCCCCTCAAATCCGCTGGTTGACCATAGTTTGCCACATTCAAGAATGAGGGTATACCCTATCCCAGGCAGACCCACAAACTATTTTTTGATCACACAGCCCATAGTGCAAACATAGATGAATCCCCATTATTCATGGGTAACCATGACCTTTTTTTTGAAAAAATCCTATTCAGTGGTCAATTCCTGTTTTTCATGGTTGAATTCAATTTTTTATAGTTATATACACATGAAACAATCATATAGTCAAACCCATTAATGTGTTACTAACACAATATCATATTCCATAGTTAGATAAAGTTAGATATGTTATATGTGTTTATCATTGTTTAGTATATAATTAATTAATTTAGACCCATGAAAACCATTATTGTTCCACGGAAAAGATCCCAGTGTTTACGTGCCACCCAGGACTTCTTTCTCAGGGAGGCGCGTGCTGTGGTGGCCGGCCCCATGGCAGTGGTGCGGCTGGGCACCTGCGGCTGTTTGCAGGAGTCGGTGTACCTTGGCAGATGTATCAGGTGATGCCACTACTGGTTGGTGGTTTGGAACATTTTTATTTTCCCATATATTGATTATATTGGGAATAATCCTTCCCATTGGCTATTTCTTTCAAAATGGTTAAAACCACCAACCAGACTAGATATTGGACACCTCCGAGAAATATTAAACACCTCCTAGAAATTAAACAGCTCCTAGAAATTAAACAGCTCCTAGAAATAAAACACCATGGTTTATTAATCCGGGGTTGACATTACATATTGGGAATGGATCAACATGATCAAATCTGGGGGGTTTTCACCTTCCAAATCAGTGAATATCCATGGAATCCATGGGCCAGGAAGGTGGGGAACGTGAGCGTGGCCGATGGCTCTGCCTTGGTCCAAAGGAACTACAGTTCTTGGGCGGCGAATGGCTGCGGGAAGCTGTGCAGGGGAGCAGTTGTGGATTGCTTTAAAGCAAAAATTTCGAGGAAAGCCCCATATTTCATGGGAAAATCGATGGTTTCCGCTAGATTTTAACATATTTTAACCCTTAAACCAATCCATTGAACTGTGAATGTCTTGTCTTTTTGGGGCCATTGGTTCACCACAAGGATTATTTTAGTGGAGGTTGGTGTCCGCACCAAAACCTCCGGCGGATTTTCAAGGACTGTTGGGTCACCTGTGCTTAGGAACTTCACATCTCCAGGGGGAATGTTTGATGTGAAGCCACTTGCTTTTTCCGGGCTACCCGCAGGCACTTATGTCATAAGGGTTCCAAGATTTTTGAACCCACCTCAATTTTTCAACTGCAGGATCAGCCCCAACAAAAATGATGATTCCAATTCCAATCAGATTTTTATTCACGCATGTCCTGTTTGAGGATCCTGTTTGAGGATGGTTGGGCCGCTGGTTGCACCCAAGCGAGGCCACTTTGACAGCTCAAGTCCAGCGCACGTCTCTTGGTCGTGCACTAAACCGTCAATTTACCAACATTAATGTTTATCCATCTTTTTGGTTAGCAGTTTTGAGCCATAGAATCTTAGAATAGCCGTGTTGCGGAGCTCAGGTAACCGGTGGATTATATTCGTAATCTAGGTTTCCATGACGTTCTGAGGGGAAGGAAAACAATGATATGTATATATATATTATATATATATATAGATATTAAATTACAATGTGGGTTGGGTATGTTGGGGCCGATAGATACCACTGGAATGGCTGGTTTACCGGTTGCCTTTATGTGCTTCTATACTGTATCTCTTAGTTGGTTTTCCTCAGGCGCAGCCCTATACCATTTCCGAGCTCTGCTTGCCCGACTCGGACCGGCACAGATCTGTTTGAGTTGCTTCAGCAGATCACCATAGATCACCCAATTTATGCAATTTCCCCTAATCAGCACACTTTTAATGTTGGATCTATGATTTTTGTGATCTTTGTTTTTTGGGCATTGGGAAATTCGGGGTTTCAAAATCTGTTTCATTCTTGGGGATTCCATCGGATTCCAGTCGTAGCTTCAGATGATATTGGTGACTCGACCATACCAAAAACATCATGTGTCTACTTGTTTTTTCCATGTTTTTCCGAAGGTGATTTGGATTATTTTTCCATTGGTAAATCCACTATTTAAGGGGAATCTATACCAGGACTATTTAAGCTTATCGGACACAAACCACTGTGTCTCCCACAGGAGTTAAATTCCTCAGTGGTGTCCGCCTTGCAAAAGGCCATGGGTTCAGACAAGGCCCGCCTGAGTAGTGAGTTTCTGCTGCTTGCGGGCTTCAAACATGTTGATCTCTTTTATCAATGGCCATAAATTGGAGGTACCTAACATATAAAGATCATATAGGATCTATGTACCTGAAATGAACATTGATTTTACCTCCAACAAAAAGCCAATATGTCTGGTCTGGACGATCTGGGATTTCCAAAAAGATTTCAATCCATGTCTGAATGGTTCCAAGTTAAGAAATTCCACTCGTGGAATCCAGGGACGTTTCTTGTCCAATTTGATCCAACTTGTTGGGGCGAGCGACGCGCACATGAACGTACATAATGGGATCATAAGAAAGTGGCCAAGTTTGAAACATTGGATATTACCAGTATATTATGATAACTAACGGCAAAATGATAACGCACCAGAAAAATTGGATATTACCAGTATAATGGTAATTTTACTCGGGAAAATGATAACAAAAACCGGTGGGTCCGGGGGCATCCTATTTTCAGACAAAGCTATGGCTATGTTTGTAAACTGGCACACGGGGGTTTCAATGTTTTTGGCTTCACCTGCAACCATGTGGAAGCGCTCGGGCATTTGGTGTGGTTTTGACTGGGATGAATAAAATCTCTGGCCCGGACAAGAACAGGCTGCTATGATGATAGCAGATTGTCACTCTTTGGGGATTCCTTAAAGATTCAGAGGGGCTCGATTCTTTTGGGGTTGACACTACCCCGAGTACCGCCAATAGCATAGCTTGGACAAGACCAGTTAACCACCACCAAACTAAAACTGCGAAGAGAGACAAGCTGGCAACTGGTAGCTAACAAAAAAGACATGAAACACAAGTATAGTTTCTCTACCAGCATATGACGAACACTTTCAACACCATTGTGTTGTAGTAGAAGTTTCCAAGCGCCACATAAATGGCTTAGACCAATGACGCTGCTGGCTGAACAGCTAGTGGCTGATTGAGCTGGGCCACCTGCTCAGCTTCAGCTTCTGTTGAACTCTCTGAGATGGCGACGGAGAGAGAAAGTATAGTGATATAGTGGGGATTCCAGCATGTTACTGTGTTTTCTTGGAGCCTCCTCAGTTATATTCGATTTGGTCCAAAAATCAGGGTACCTCAAATTAATCATCAATAGTTATCATTATATAATCATGATTATCCCTCTTTAAGATGGCCATTGAGGATCATTTCGGGATATACACCAATGTTCAGACATCCCCACGTTTTTTTGTTTTTCCGCAGGTGAACGAGGGAACCAACATCACTGCCGACTCCTTCTATTCGTCGCAGGGTCGTTTTGACCCGTCCTTCAACGACGAGAACGACAGACTGATCTCAGAGGTGTTGAAGAAGTATCCCAAGGCAATCACCATGGATGCTTGGCGAAGCATGGGGAACAATGGATGATTTGGGATTGACCAAGTATAATGGGATTTGATTGGATTTGATAATCTATTAGTGGGGAATTTAATTTTGTTTTTAGGGATGATTTTACCTTTTAACCATCGGAAATGGGATGTGAATAGGATATAGCCAGTCATTTGGGATTCCCAAGTTACCATGGTTGTTTCAATGCTAAGTCATGGTCTGACTTGGACGATTTGGGGTAGCTTCATTGGATTCCATTGGTCCATGACTTTGGAAACAAATATCCTCAAATGATCAAAAGTATGGGATAGCATGATGGTGAATATATAGGTTCTGAAAAAAAACAACTGATTCAATGCTTACAGATCTTACAGTGATGCTTAAATGGGGCAGTTGGAGGAGAACATCCACCATTTCTGCATTGCAGAGTAGCCAGCCAGGCCGGGCAGTCAGATCCTTGCAGTTCCAACAATCCTTGAGCATCGGAAATGACCGGGCCATGTAAGGTATCCAAGCAGTCTTGCCCTGGAATAATTTCAGCGGCCAACCGTTCCAACCATTTAGGTATTGGCCACCAAGCTGAGCAAGTTATTTCACAATTTCACCAGTTTTTGGACGATGAATCAGCTGGGCAGTCACATTGTTTCGCTCGGCTTGGCGCCTCAGGAAATGGAGACTTTTCAGCTATTTCATTTGGCCCGCAGCTGCTTGCCGAAGGAGCGTCCAAGGGTCATGTTAGTCATGTTGGTCACGAAAAGCAGTCCATAACAGCATATCACACGGCCATTTGTCCATTGAAAGCGAGGCTATACGTGCTGTGATTGATTTTCGTACTATTTAGATTAGATCTGAGTAACTTTGGGTATACCCAATGCTCTTCATCCTCATGTTTAATGCATTCTGATCATGCCACATATTTTTTGTGAAGCTGCTGGGCTAGTCGTGTCAGAAAATTCAAGATTTAGCGTCAAACTCTTACGCAACTTTGCGATTTTTGAGAGTTCATGGATGCTCACTGTGTGATTTCAGTGAAAGACCTACCACATGAATCTATGATAATCTATGTGCATGCAGTTCGTTCTCTTCCAGCTGTTGACAGGGGAGCATGCGTGCAGCCGCAGCAGTGGTGAATGTAGCTAACCGCCCCACTGGACTCTCGGCCCAACTGATGCCTATGGCTAGGCTAGACCTCGGATGAGAATATTTGCTGCTTGCAAAAGACAAAAAACATGTTTTACTGAGACTAGAGATTATCAAAATAAAAACCTCGGATTGAAACCAAAGTCAGAAAACCTAATTACAAGGTTGCCCATTAACCGCGACTCGGCTGATCCTTATATTAGGACGTTACCTTCTAAATGTGACTATCATTATAAGTTGGCATTAGCTACAATGACCAATTACTATCTACAAAACAGCATATTTTTGCACCTAACAAGCTGCGATTGGTTGGCATACGCACTAATTTTATGCTATTATCTACTTTTCAAGTTCTGAATCGATGAGGTATTATTTCCGTGTGTGATAGTTGGCTTATGTTTTGATTGACATTTTTGGGAAGAGTCACCAAATTGAGGATCATTGTTGGGTCATATTGAAAGCCTGTTGATCATATCCCTGGGATTCCTAACATTATTATTTGTTTAATGACCAGTAGCCCACCCACAAACCACCGACAATAGTTGTTTTGTTGGCTTCCAGGAAAAATGGATATGTACGGATATGTGTTTATCAATGCGTTCTGTTTCTATCTATGTTTCCATTTGTTGATGAATTCCCGCAGTGAAAATCATCGATAAAGCGCCGTCGAAAGTGCGAAAGGCGAAGTGGTTGGCGAGGAGGCCTTGCGCTTCGCCGAAAGCGAAGGTGGTAAAGCCTTGATGAAGGCGAGGCACCTAGGAAAATCGTGGGAAACACCATTCGGAAAACCATCCAGCTATAGCTATGTATGGATTTAGCCAGGAAATATGGTGGCTAAATGGGTTCTAACATGTTTTAAGCAATCAAGAATTGAGGAACATCCCAGTTAGTATGTGATTTCAATTTCAATGATTGATTGACATTTGGCGGTTGCATTAGTGGTGATTCATTGGGTAAATATGACCGCTATGGATGAATTAGCCAAAGATGTGGATCACAACTGCGCAGAATTATGGATCAATGATGATCAATGGATTTTTAGCCAGTTAGTGATGGTTATATAGTACATGTTACTCGTAGTACCATTGCTTGTGGGCCAAGAGGTTTTAATAGTTTTATCCAGCCAAAATCTGATGAACCAGCAGCACTTGAGATGAATACTCACAGCGGTGGCTAGGAACGGAGTTAGGAACACATCACTGACCACTAGGGCCATGGGCGGCCATAGGTACTCTTGTAGGGTCTGGCTCCTTGGGTAGCCAGCCAGATAGGATTATGTTGAATAAACATGAACCAGATGGGTCAATGAAAATAGTATCTATTATCTAACCTGGCCTGGCAATGGTAATCTTTACAGAGGCAATGGGTGAGGAAATTATCTACGCACACTTCATTCTCCACGGCTGTGTTAAATTACCCGGGCACGGGGTACGTTCGACTTGAACGGAGTCCGAAGGGGTGGGTCATCGTGGAGCAAATTCCATTGCTAGTGTTGCGTGACTGCTGGTGAGAGGAAACATGATGGAAACGAAACATTAAACTCCTTCTCTGTTTTCATAGACAATTTTAAACCTTTTCCGTAATTTAATCGCATCCAACAGCGGAATCAGTACCCATTTTGGGAGTTCCTTAAACTGGGTGACCCTCAAAACCATGGGTTTCAAGTTTCAATACTAAATTTACCTATATATATATATATATATATAATAATTTGGGATGATTTGGAAAATTTTGTGATAACCCCCATTCTAGGAAACCTCCTATTCTGTTACGGCACAGTTTCAGATGTGGAGAACTGGAGGCTCTGGCAGAACTTCGACTCTGATCCGGCGCGCAAAATCTGTGAGCGCCAGGACTTGGGTGTTAGCAAAGGGTCGGCTTAACGACCTCACGTCGCGACCAAACCCTGGAAATCATGGTTTAGATATGGGGAATTCATCCCCAAATGGCCGCGAGATTCCGGTTAGTGAATTATTATAGTTTACCCGGATATATATATATATATACATACCCTCCGGGAATCAAACATGGCAATAACAGAATCGCTTGAATATGGGTCCATTGGAACATCCCTCATAAATTGGGATTGTCCATTGCCGCGTTTGATTACTGGGGTAGTCAGAGATATCTAGATAATCAGAGTGCGGTAGAAAGTTGCCAGCCAAAAGGTTTCGACCAAGAAGGGCCACTGGGTTTTTTTCTTCCAGTGCATCTGAGTCGTTAGAAATGGAGTTCACTGTGTTCACTTGACCCCTTGAAAGTGCTTGACCTGATACCTGGGCGAAGCCAAACTGATTGTCACATCACTCCGGCTATCATCGTAGACTTTCAATGTTTGTTGCTTGCCAAATGGGGTACGTTTGCAGCTGATGGTACTTTGTAGTTTCTCATATCACAGTTTGGATCAAAACTTCATGGCTTGGTGGTGCAGTGGCACCTGAGATAGGTCGGTATCCGGACGGTAGTCACATTCAGAGGCCAGCCAAGAGGATCAGGCTGGAGTGATGCAGCCAATTGGCTTTGGGTCAGTAATTATGTGAACTGATGGTTTGGCAAACAATCAGGGTAAAGAAGAGGCCCAAGGATATTTCATCTCAATCCATCTCATGGTCCAAGTCAATCATTGGAAACACATGGCATGGTGGACCTCCGACAGTCGTACCACCTTGTACCATGTTGATCCCATGATGGGATGATGGGATTTGGTGAGAAAAAAAACAGTAAATCTCAACCAGAGAGATGATAGGTGATCTTTTTTTCCTAGCAAGTCCGGCAAAAATCGGCTGTTAAAACCCACCGGTTCCACAGAAATTCCATCAACCGACTTGGTCGTCACCTCTGGCCATGTCGCTAACCCCGTTGCCAAGCCATGTGAAACTGCAGCTTGGAGACGCACGAAGTCTGAAAGGCGTCTCGCAGAAAGCATGGTTTAGTGTATGGAAGCAGAGATTTGGGACATTTTGGGGCCCTTGAATGAAGATGCTTAATATTGGGGGGAATGGGATTCGATATTCCAAGCAACAATGAATTTCTAGTTGACAAAGAATGCGGATAACTATGACCAACATGGGAAATTTACTCGAAGCAATGATGAGGAAGGTTAGGTCTGGTAAATGGGATGATTCTGATAAGGTCTGATAAGCCTAATCAGTGGGACTAATTAATGGATAATCCATGATGATCCTCCCACAGGCACTTGGATGGTTGGCCATAGACATCCATAGACGTTGGAGAAGTTCAATGTTGATGCTTGATACTACTGCTGTAATGGCAAGACGAGTGGTTACCTTACAAAAATTATCAAAAATTGATACTTGATCAACCTGCCTCCAAAAAATATCGCCAACATGATCGGAAGAAATGATGAACAACTGCGGGTGCAACTCCAATTGCAGTCTATGAACAAACCCGGCAACGGAATGTGCTTCCAAGTCCCGCCAAAGAAGCGCCATGCCGGCTTCTTCTTTCATCAACACTTGAGGTTCGAGGGAAGATTGTGCTAGGTCAATAGGGGAAAAAAATGCGTATGATTGCATAGTTTTCATTCGTCAACATACCGAAAACGGGAGCCTCAAATGCGTCCCCTTTGGGGTCCTTTGGGGCAAAGCCGATATGTATATACTCTTCAAAGCATCGAAACACAGCAGGTACAATGCGGGAGTGTCAAAACCTACGGTTCCATTTTCGTTGTTGTGCATGAACTGTTTTTTTCGCCGGGCCCAAAGCAATCTGTGTGATCGATATCAATTTGTGTTTGATGGCTATTGTGTAAAAATTTGCTGATTTCAAGGTATTTCCATTTTTTAATTTCTCCATTTGTTCAAATAGAAGTTTGCCACGTATTATGTGTTTGTTTTGGTCCAGCCATTTCCATAGATATGATAATATCAAAATCACGGCTGACAAGTCACTGCTTCACCTGAGGTGGTCTTGGTTTGTCGCGCCGATCCACCGGATCCAGCAGACCATGCTTCACAGGACCAGCAATCCCAGGCTTCAAGTCTGCACTCGAAAATAAAAATCCACCACTGAAATCCTTGAAAATCCTTTAAACATTCTTAAGCGATAACCTTCCAGTTTTTTTTTTGGGGGGGGGCTGGAGGATACGGACCACATTTTCCCACATTTTCCCACATTTTCCCACATTTTCCCACATTTTCCCACATCTCCCAGGCGCTGCTCCTTTCCTGGCGGCGCCCCTGGGGCGCTGGACCCTGCGGGCAGGGAGGCGGCCCGGAATGGAAGGGGTGCCAATCTTCAATCAGTGCCTTGGCCCAAGTGGAAGTGATCGTTTTGACCATGGAACATGGGGAGTTCATGATATATGGAAGAATATGGGAAGAATAGCGGCTGTTTTGTTGTTTTCTTCAGCAATGATTTGGAGCTTTCATATATGTCCAAAGCACCAGATGTTTCGTAACATATTTATCCTTCGATCCTAGAAGTCGGGGGATTTGCTGGACAAGTTGTGAGACGCTCGTTATGCTAGAAATGTGCAAGTTTCTAGAATCATCCAAGAAATCAAGAAGACAATAGAGAGTGATTTGTTGAGTGAATTATGAACAAAATAAGTGGAATAAGTAGGTCATAAATGGGCGCCACAGTTTTAGTGATACTGCTGTGACCGAACCCTGGAATCATGGTTAGGATCTGGGGAATCATCCCCAAACAGCCTTCTTTCAGCTAGTGAACTGTTATAATGTACTCAGATAAATCATATATACCCGGCCGCCCTCCGATGGCAACCCTTGAGGTTGCGTGAAATGTGGCGAAGGAAACTGAAGCTTTGTGCCGTGCTGTCTGTGCTGATGGCTACACTTTGGCTATGGCAGGGGTATCAAGGCGCTTTATGGCTGGAGGGCTGGATGGAACTCAAAGCATCGGATTGGGGTATCAGGATTTGAACCATAGCATATGATACATTTATTACTGGTTGGTGTTGACTGGAACCATGGAATTTTATGACTTTCCATATATTGGAAATGGAACAATGATACCAACTGACTTTCATATTTTCAGAGGGGTTGAAACCACCAACCAGATTAGTTGAGGTGATGAAACCGCTGACCAGTATTGTTGAAGTTCTCTTGTGTTATCATAAGTGTGACACAGACAAATTCCATGTTCAATAGATTTGAGTCTGCTTGAGCAGGCTAAGTTCCCACAGCCAAACTTATTGCTTCAGGTTGGACAAATCTCAGCACTTTCAATGCTACACAGCCGTGGTACAGAAGCTTGGACTGTAGGGCCCAGAGATGCCCAATGAGGACCCCCATATCCCATCATATCCCTGTATCCCCGCATTCCACACCTCCGTGGTATGATATTTGCTATAAGACTGCTTTCCGGACCCACAGTGACATCCTTGCATCTTAGTCTTTGACTTGAAGTATCCAGTAATGAAACTGAGAGAGAGAGAGAGAGAGCCCCGAATGCCATTCGCCCACTGGTCCACCAGCCAAGGTTTTTTGGAATATATCATATGTATCTAGTAATGATTGGTGACTAGAACTTATAGATCACGCACACGCACACATGCGCACACATTGAATCATACATATATCTATATATATATTATTATATATATATATTGATAGATAGATATACATGTATATATAAATGCACATTTGCATAGATTCATAGATAGATGGAGGGATAGATAGAATAGATATAGAATAGAGATGAATAGTAGAATCAAATGAAAGAGAATAGAATAGAATAGACTAGAATAGAATAGAATAGAATATATAGAATAGAATGGAATGGAATAGAATAGAATAGAATATATAGAATAGAATGGAATAGAATAGAATAGACTAGAAGAGAAGAGAATAGAATAGAATAGAACAGAGAATAGAATAGTATAGAACAGAGAATAGAATAGAACACAAGGGAAGAGAATATAATAGATAGACAGATAGATAGGTAGACAGATAGACAGACAGATGGATCGATGAATGGTTGGATGGAGATAGAGATGGAGATGGATATAGAAATTGAGGTATAGATATAGATATAGACTATGATATAGATACATACATACCAGTGGTTCTATAATATTGTATGCCAATAGCGGTTGTAGAAATGTGGCTTTCTTAAAATGGCCCCCAAGTCACCATGGGATTCAATTCCAAACTGGAATATGGGATGATTTGGGGTATTATAAGGTAGGAAAGCCCTGAATACATGCCCATGTGATCCCATTTCATCAACCATCAATTTATTGATGCTCGAGACTGAGGACGTTTGCCAGGCTCCACGGCCATTGAATCTTGGCGGATCGGAGAGTTCTGAAAGCAGTTCTGATTATTCAATGCGCCATGGTTCGGAGGGACTGAAGATGTTTCACCAGAAAACCATGGTCTTTTGATGGTCTGCGCCCAAAGACCTGGCACAATTCCCAGGAAAGTTGGCTCCTGGGAACCCATCCGGTGGTTATGGATGCTCGGCTGAAGATGTCCGGCGTGTTGGTGGTGGTGGCAGTGGCGCTGTTGGTCGTGGTTGTTTATTCGGGTTCACATACATGTTTTGCAGAATATTCTTCTTTATAAATATATTATAAATTATAATATGTAATAATGGCAACATCGGATTAATCAACCCCCCCCCTGGTAGGTCAGTCGGACCTTCTGGCTAGTTTTCTTGACCACCCCTTAATAATAAGCAACTCTGAACCATAAAACTTTGGATATGGCTTACGTCAATTAGATCTTAATAGAATTCCATTGGATTTGTTAAAATCTCATGGATCAGAAAAGTGGTTGATTAATCAGGGGCAAACCGTGGTTATTATTAATGGGGGACATGGGCTCATGGGGGGTACCCTTTGGGAGCTATCCAAACTGATGATTTTTATCAAGATTTTAATTAGAAATCGATCATTTGGGGAATAGTTGTTTTTTGAAATTTTCAATGATCAACTTAAACCTTAAGTATAACAATGATGATTTAAAAAAAATGTAAAAAAAACAATTGGAAATAAATAGAATTGGAAATAAAAAGTGTTGGATAAAAAAATGGATTTCAGCACAGGGGGTTGATTAATCATGTCCCAGCCAAACGGTTTATTAATCCTGGGGGACAACCTCTTTTTAAATTATAAAAAAACAAATTGGGCAGAGGGGGTTGATTAATACCGCGGGGATTATTAATCCTAACTTGACATTGTATATATATATATCTATAGACTAGACATATGCAGACATATGTGGATGCTATTAAACCTATGGTCCAATGGTTTCCAGTGATGCTCCTTTTCAACCACACCATGACCAACGAGGCGCACGGACATGCCCTGGCAGTCACCAAAAGCACCTTGCAGTCACCTGGCGGGTGATTTTCGGTTCATGCTTAACTACTGTAGGGTTTTAATGGATGTATACCTACCGCTAGATGGCTTAAAAAAAACGAACTTGTCACTGGCCCTAATAATGCATCCCACGTGTTAAATTACTCTGAAAACAGAACGGAAAAATATGGTTTATCTATTGGTTTCGCACATGACCTGTTGTTTTCTGGTGTTGGGAGGAGCTTAAATCATTATGATTCGAAATTACTTCCGCAGATGGAAGGGGAGAGAAAGTCAGAGAGAGTCCGCAGTCGCTGTGTCAAACTGATCGCATAGCCATAGATAGGTCCGAACTCAAGTTTTCATCACGTTGACTAATTTGACCGGTGGTTGGGCCATGTCCAGTCTCTTGCACCTAACCAAGGGATTTTGAAGAGCTGCTGGAAGAAGGTATGACGGTTGGTTTCTCCACCAGTTGACGGTTGGCTTCTGCCATAGGTTTTCCCACCATGCAACTGCCATTCTCAGGAGAGACTTTGCAATGGACACGCGTTTGGTTGATGAAGGGCAATTGCATCGATTGCTCACTGCCTGCTTTTTGCACAACAGCGTCTTTCATATTCTCTTCAACCTGGGTTATTTGCAGCCGAGTTGCAACACTTGGGGTAGGCGGATTGCCCAGTGTCCGATTGTCACCTGAAAATGGGGTTTGTGAGAGCTAATAGATTTGGATTGGATTTGTTGTGCCACTGAACATCTCAGCCCTGGCTCTCACGGTGGGTTTGTAGTATGGAGTCTTGCAGAGTTGCACATATGATGAAAAGATCAAGTGCGTAAGCAAATTATCATCCGGAACATGCAACAGGAGCAAGATTAAGAACTTTTTTTGGTCGTGCCTCAATTGTTCAATATTCCAGCCGTGCACGGTGCCCACCAGCCCTGAGGTACACCGTGGCACCTTTGGAAGTGGGTTGCCGCGGTGCCTTTTTGAGCACGTTCCTCATATCTGGCATCGTTGCTGGGTGCTAAAAGGAATGACTTTTGCTAAGCGTGCGATGGATTCTCCGGAAACATGCAGCATATGTGGGCGACGGAGAGAGAAATTAGTTTGAATAATTAATGATTTCGGAATATTCATGCATATTCCATAATTAGCTTGGCTGGATTCAGAATACCACACTGTATAAGGGTGAACCAGCTATGACACTGAATGTCATAAACGCATAAACGAAGATCATGTTATAAACAGAGCCCGGAGTGGTATTAGGAAAGCTGCGTTCAGCACCCAGAAGAACATTGGGGAAGTTCCTGTGGACTGTGGAAGGAGCAGTGCATTGAACCAACCCAGGTTGGCAATCTGGCCTTCCTACACTTTGGAGAGGCAGTGGTAATTACGATGTACCCCAAGGAGTTGTTGAGAGCAGCACAAATCATCCTGGCAATTAGGCCAAATGAACATGAGAATCACTGAAAATTTGTGTAAGATAAAGACTTGAGTTGCTTCTTCTGGGAAAATGGTCCCAAATGAATTCCACAATTGAATCGTTAGGATTGACAAGACAGATGCACAAAATCCTCAAGATGCTCTTCTGGGTTGAATCCTTGGCATATCTTGGTATATCTTGGCACGTGTCATGGCACATTGCGAGGCACGTTATGCCGTAGGTGCCTCTGGTGGTTTGTGCACCCTGGCAAAAACAACCAGGAATGGGAAGGATGGGGAGCTGTTGCAGAGATACTTGATAATACTTTTCGGGAAAAGTAACCGTCACTTTCACTCAGTTTCAATCTTCTCACTGACATTAATCACCGTTTGAAAAAATCCTTGGTTTAGGATCTCTTCATGAAATGGTACCATATGGATGGTACTCGTATATGTGGTATTACGGCCAGGCGCTGCGTGTTGCCCGGACAGTTCACATGGCATTTAAGCATTGTCCTTCAACATGCTCAAACACCTGCACAGGGCCAGTGTTTTGAGATTTCCCAGACGGCGAGCCCTGAACCCTAAATCCTAAACCAAAAACCCTAAATCCCTAAAGCCTTAAACCCTGAACCCTAAAACCTAAACCCTGAAAACTTCTGAATCCTAAACCAGAAAACTCTGTGTATATGGTCTCCCAATTATGGATGCTTAAGCTGATGGTGAAAACCCGTGTTTGATGGTGAACCCTCTGTCTAGATTATGATGATTCCGGGAATGGAGTGCCAAATCTGATTTAATGGGCATTGAACCGGATACAGGTTTACTAAGGACCTACTAACCAGCAACAACCACGTCTATATGGGCTTGGGAACCATGCATCGTTGGGTAAGCGGTCACCTTCGAAGGATGATTTCATGATGTTTCGACTATATCGCCATGATTCTCGATGTTATACCTTCAATTTTGTGCATATTTGCAGGTCGTAAATCTTTGCATACTTTTCATTTAGACAAAATCAAAATTTTGATGTTTTCCATACATGTTTTACATTTTTATACCAATTTTGTCCCAATTTTCTTGCTTATTTTCTTGCTTAAATGGACCCAAATGGGCCATGGGCCATTCTCAGGTGGACTCATAGGCTTCGAGTTGGTCTCGCTGCTGCGTTCCCGGAAGGTCCGTGAATTCAAAGTCCTGCTACGGTCGACCTTCGGATGCTCGGTCGACCTGTGAAGGCGAAAAGGTCGATTCGGAGCGATTGGTGAAGACCGGTGAAGATGTCAATTTCATGAAAAATATCATGAAACATATCATGAAAAATAACATTCAACAGCATCCAATAGTTTTCAACATCATTTCATAGCATTCAAAGTCATTCAATATAATTCAATATTAATTGAATCATAGCATTCAATATCGATCATTATCATTCAAATTCATTTGATAGCATTCAGTATCATTCAATATCATCAACAATCAACATATTTGATTATTTATATATATTTACAATTATTTACATATAAGAACACATACCTAGGATTACCTAGGTATACTACACATGCACATATATATATAATATATATATATATAATATATACATATAATATACAAAATCATTGTTGAGAGCAGACGTTGCAGATAGACGTGTTGTAATGTTTATTATGTTGATGCTAAGCAGGATGCCTTGAGTCCTTGCAATCCTATTGGTTCCGTAGACGTTCATGGTGATGATCATCATCATTGCCATCATCATCCCAACGTACTACCTTGTGAATGCATTCTTTGCGATTGAGGGCGTATTTGAAACATGTGGGTGTTTTAACCCTGCCATTGCCATTGCCCACCATTTCCTGATTTGTTCTGCATCGTCTACCCCTCAGCCTATATTCACATCCCAAACAAAACAAACCAACTGCCATATTTTTCCCACGGTCCAAGTCCAACCAAGGAATGCTCATCATGGGTCTCTTCCTCCCAGGTTGCGCCAACACCTGTCACGTGGGAGGTTTGCTCTGTGGCTTCGCAGTAGCTCTGCTGGTGGCGCGGCGCAGTGGCTACCGCGCGCCTCTCCTACCGTGGCCCTTTCTGCTGGCGCTGCTGGCGCTGATGCCGTTCGGGCGACGCTTCCTGTGCCTCGGCAAGGTTTGTAATTAGACATGGCCGTTCTTGGGCTGTGTTTGGAATCTATGTCAGAAATATGTTGGCTGTGAATGTTGGGCCTCGGACTCGGAGAAAAAGGGCAGAGGAAGTATATATATATATATATATAACAAGGCCCTACAAGGCTTCACTTTGTTTTACGTCAAATTGATCACCCGATATTCAAAAAACATCTGCTAGCTATTGTACCAATGCAATTATACGCATTTGATTGCGTTTGAGGAGTTTATTGTTGGGAGTGTCAGGACTGGATGTTGAACCAATAGCGGGCAGCTACAACGTCAAACTTTGATGCCTCCAAGGTCGGCTCTGATGCAAGCCTTGCTGGTTGCATTCCAGCACCCAGGAGCTTTGGGACGTGGATATGTGATTTGACTGGCGGAAGAAAATGGTCCAGCCTGCTCTGCAGTGGATCGCCACACGTCAATTGGATGTGTGTGCGCATACGGCC